TTACCTAGAAGTCATAGTTTCTCTTAACAGCAAAGATAAAGGTTTAGGGAAAAAGCCATATGCCACTGCAAAAATTTATTTCACTGGAGAGTTGGCCCTAAATTCAGATTGTCAAAGGTCCCGACAGGCTGTAGTTAATTGGCCTTGTTATATCTGCATTAACCTTGGGAAAAGCAGCTATTCCTTATTTCTGGTTTGTTTTCCAAGGTGTGTGAGTTCTTCAAATGTTGGAATGAGGCTACTTTGCTGCATGGGTTGACTCTAGGTCTTGTGACGCGCTAGGGTTTTATTTTTGTGGGGTTTTTTTTGTTGTTTTTTGTCATTTTCAAAGGAAAAAAGGTAACAAGGAGGAGATAGTCCTCCTTCCTTCTTTTTGGGTAGTAACCAGCAAGCAAGGACAATCTTGTAGGTTCTTAATTGGTAACTTTATTAAAGCATGGTAAATAACCAATTTACAAAAATTCCTAACCCTTTCTCTCTTTAGTGGTGGTAAATATTTCTGAAGCCAGGAAACTGAGTGCCTTTTGTGCTCACAGTGGCACCCCCAGGGTGACAGTAACTAAAATATATACTCTCAATTTCTGCTTTCTTATCTGGGCAGGACAATGGCTCTGCAGTGCCCTGTTTGTGTCCATTCTCCCTCATTATACAAATATGCCTCATAAATTATAGGCTTTGGCACAGAGAGTGGAGGTTGTGTTTATCTGTTATCCATGGGAGTGCCCCTTAAAGTCATCAGTGTTTTTTTTTTTTTTTTTTCCTTTCCTTACCATATAAGGGCAGAAGTTTAACTTGGCTGTAGTCACTTGATCTTACACAGCAGTTGGGTGAAACCTCTGTAAAGCTACAGTTTGCATGAAATACAGAAATGTGACCTTTGATCATCCCATGTTTCACTCTGGTTCAGGCACGATTTTAAAAACATATTCTAGAGAATTAATTTTTACAATAGCATATTCTCCTACCAGCATTTCTCCTTAATTGTCTTATTGAAATACCTTTGTTAAGCCAAAGTCCATTGCTGTTTTTCATCTTTTTCATTGTATTGGCCAAAACATCTGGATTTCAAAAAAAGTTAGGCCTTGTAAAAGTTTTCTTTCAGATCTGATTTGGAGATATTTTGCTATGTTGAAGAATGCATGCTCTTAATCTGTGTAGCACATCTGGGATGGGGGATAATAGTACTTTGGGGCTATAAGGTGACAGGGCAAGTATGTATAATTCCAAGCATCTCACAAGTAGAGAGTATCTAGTGGCTCCAACAAATCTGCAGAAAGACATTAGTAACCTTTGCTGAATAAAGCAGTCTGCTTTCTAAGTAGCTCACTGCATATTGGGATGAAGAGTACTTTTGAATTAAAGAAACTAGTATCCTAAACTGCAGCTTTGTCCTGCAGTGTAACCACTTGGGCTGTTATTAGAAGAAGCCAACCTGGTACACTAAGGTCAATTTCCAGGCTGGAAATAATTTGCCCCTGAGATCTTGACCCTTCCCTAAATGCCTTGTTATTTACATCTGCATTTTAATTAACAGCTGGTCACATGGCTATGAGCTTGCACTGATGAGGCAGCTGCAGGTTGTCTTAAGTAGACTGCCCAGGTGCAACGATGAAAGGAACTTTAGAGATGATCTACCTAACCCTCAAAACTCAGATCACATGCCAGAAACAGTCTAGAGAAGGTGAGCGATGTCCTTCTTTTGAACAGAGGGCATAATTCAAAAAGTAAAAAAAAAGATGACCTTAATTAGTTTAGGGAAGTAAACATATTGTGAATTCTAGGGAACCAAACAAATTTGCAATCAGACCAGTAAGATAGCACCAAAGAAGCCTATGGGAGTTGAGAATTTTCCCAGGGGAAGATTACATGGAGCTAAATATGCCCCCATAGGTAGGGCTGTAATCTCACAGCATCTTTGCCTCTTCCTCTTCAAAATCTGACTTCTGGGATTGAGAGCAAACACTCTGTCCTGGTGTGAACTCTTTCCCATTGTGTTACTTTATGAAGTTTTCCATTTTATGCCATGACGAGTTTCAAAAGGTAATTGAGAGGACTTGTTTAGTGGATGATGTTCAATACAGTAAATGTTCTCCTAGTCCAAGTTATGCAGGAAGCTTTTCTTTCCCTTGAGGAGTGGAGGTGGGGATTACTCTAGAGAACCTCTTACTTAGGTGTCAGAAGAGAGAACATCTCCAGGGTGAGAACCACCAAGTCCAGAGTTTCCATGAAGTTGCAGGAGAAATGAGGAGGGTCAGCCCATGAAGAACCAGGGGACTTGGATTTGAGTCTCATCTCCCACTGACGGCTGTGTGACCTGAACGTACTTCACCCCTCCCAGTCAAAAATCCCTCCTTCCTATTTTCTTTTAAATGAAGAGCTACAAAAGTGTTTCCCAGGATTTGCCAACTTCTGTGGGAGGTGGAGCAGGGAGGGTAGAGACGTAGAATATGTCTACGTCTGACCTCCTAAATCAGAATCTCTAGGGATGGGGCTGGAAAGTACTTTTAATACACATCTCGTATGTTCTGATACCTAGTCAGCTGAGGGAGCTGCTGGATGATCCTAGGAACCCTTCCAGCTAAAAACTGAGATCCCATTTTGTGGACCACCTGCAGCTCTGCTCTCTGTGTGCCCCTATTCTGGCTTCTAGAAATAGATCTCCCTTCCTGGTCATTGCTTATGGACCCCATGTGACATGGTATTAGCTGATATTCCTATAGGACACAACCTCTAATATCAGGAAGACTAAGGTTCTACAAATTGCTCTGGGGGCAAGAGCTACAGTGACATTTGTAAAGCAGTATCCAGAACTAAAGGGTGCAATAAGGGAAGATGTATTGATGGAGAGGCCTCTCAGGTAGGGAGATCTTATGTGCAGAGACAGAAACCAGCATAGATGCTGTATCCTTACTCTCTGGTGCCCCAGCTATGTAGAAAAGTGAGGACCTGAAGGATTCTTTCCCCAGAGCATAAATAGTTTCCTTTCTGTGAGCACAAAGTCCTCAAGGTTGGGGCCCAGATTGAATGCAGAGCAGGGGACTTAGATTGTGATGCCTACAAAAGACTTTGAAAATGTTGACATTTCTGTGGTTTGCAACAAGGATATTTGCCTTCATATTGAAAAACAATAAGGTAAGGGGGAAAGAAGAAAATACTTTTGAGTATATGAACTAGACGTTCTACTAAGAATGTATTATTTGTTGTTGGTGGTGGTGGTTTGAGGGGTGGTTTTTTTTTTTTTTGTTCTTCATTTTTAACTTTCTTGCTTTTCCCCATTCGCAAAAGGAATAGAATTTTATTGGAAATGGAAAATATAGAAAAGTAATAAAAGCTGACCTGACCCAAAAGTATACCCTTAACGTATACCTCCTTCCAGTTTTTAAAATACAGCTAAAGACTTTAAAAGAACACTTAAGAAATGTGTAATCCCTATTACCCTCTCACCTCTTCTCCAAAAAAGCTACAGCCATGACTGACTAGTCAGACTTTGCACAGCCCATGACTAACATTGTGCTGATAATCGTTTACTTTTTGGGCCGCTGTGGTTGTATGCTGTTCTCCTTGGATTCATTTCCCTTTCCCCACTGCTCCCTGCTTTTCTGAGCCAGTTATTACTACATAGTTAATTTTTGATGTGATGAAAGTGTATTGGATGCTTTTATAGAGTCCTTCACTAGGGTTAGAGATGCCCTAATCACCCCTCTTTCCCAGACAAAATTTGGCATTGAAAATCTTACAAATCTAGATGAGCAAAGAGCTGAGTGTTCTTGTATTTCTTTGATTCAAAGACTTAATTGCAATCCCAGCTTCTTTCAAACTGTGTGCATTTCAAACTCTGTATATCGTGGGCCTAAGAAAGTTGCTTTTGTTCATTAAGTAGACATTTATTCCGATAAATAGATCCCATATTCTGTGCAAAGAACTGTGCTTCCCTGCACTGAAGAAGATTACAGATGAGTAAAGATGACAAGAATGTAGATAGAGACAGAAACCAACTAGCATAGGCCCCTAAGGAGCTATATATTTTTAAAATACTCCCAAGTGTCCTGCCTGAAAACCCCATCCTCCCATAAAAAGTATGCATTCAGTGTAGATGAGGATATAGTACCTGATGAGTAAATTACATCTTTACTTCTTAAATAGCCACCACTGCAAGTGTATATAATGAGCCATTATAGTCTTAACAGTATTCTGAAGCTTGTAGTAACAAGTGTTTTTAACAGTAAGTAACCATGGCATTTCCAAGAAAGGAACATCTTGTTTCAGAAATAGATACCAAATGAAAACTGTATCTGTACTGCTTTTCTCCTCAGGAGTTTGAAACTTTTCTTGTAGCAACCTTGACTTTTCATTCCAATAGGTTTATGTCAAAAACACTTGGGAATTTTGTCTTGGCCCTATTACAGTGTGATTCGTTATTCTAAAGGGTTACCTGAAAGGGGGGTGGGGAAGTGGTTACTGGATTTTGTTGTGTCTCTGTATGATGTTTATTTTACAGCTGCTGAAATTTAAAATAATTTTAGTTCCTCTATGAGACCCTTTTGAGAAAGTGGCCAGGATGGAAGAGAATTGAGACTTCTGAGTCCAATTTCTGGCTGGCTGTACAGCTATTGTTTTAGGGGACTGAGACTGGGTGAGTCTGTGTCTCCACAGCGTGGGCCCCCAGCGAGTGAGGTGGCTGTAACGAAGCTCCCTTTAATGGTTCAGGTAAAGCCAGTGTGTTGAAAATGGAAGAAAGGAACCAAGTAAGAGAGCATCTGTTAATGTTGCATCTGTCCGATGACACTTGGGTTTGTGGATTTCTATAATGTGGACATTCACATATAAATGAATGTATCCAGGAATGCCAAAGTTGACCAGTGCTTATAATGTACATCAGGGTAACACACCACAGGGCCCAGGCTTCCTATCAGATACTAGTGTTTTAGTCTCAGCCACTTCTGGAAGGCACCACCCTCGCTTTTTCTCCAACTCTGAAATGCCTTTCACTCTCTGCCTAGGCTGAAGCTGACGTAGCTTCTCTGAACAGACGCATCCAGCTGGTTGAGGAAGAGCTGGATCGTGCCCAGGAGCGTCTGGCAACAGCTTTGCAGAAGCTGGAGGAGGCTGAGAAAGCGGCAGATGAGAGTGAGAGGTGAGGATGCCTCATCCATTCCGCCTTCTAGCACAGACCCTCCTGGTGGAACAGGGCTTCTCTGATTTTGCAGTTTGAGAATTTTGTAGTCTCTCAGTGGGATCATTTCCTCTGTTTATCCTAGGTATAACTTTATTAGTTTTGTTCATTTAAAATTAGTGGATGACCTATTGTGCAAAGTACTGTTGGAAACCCCAAGATTACAAAGACAATCTGTTCCTGCCTTCATAGTGAGCTTACCATGCAAAGAGCACTTATAGGGAGATATTTATTTCTTTGTTTGTTTGTTTATTTATTTCATTCTTTCATTCCTGCTGACCACAGAGCAATTATGCATTTTTTTAAAGGTATAGGAAAGAGACTTAGGATCTGGGTAAAGGAACTATGGATGCTCATTGTCATATAAGTAGAAAAGGAAACATAGATAAAACAGAAACAGGATTTGTAAAAACATGTTGGACTTAATAATGCTGATAAGACACACACTTACATAGTACAGTAAGATACTCATGTATTCTTAGCCCACTCCCCTTGTAACCTGGCTTTGCCTAACTCATTTTTCCAAGTTGGGGCTTTGTGGTAATAAAGGAAAATCATGACTAACATTGACTAGGACAACTAGCTATGTGTGTTCTGAAATACTTTTTCTCCCACACGCAACTGTTCATACTATGAAGAGGCACTTCAGGAAAGACTCGAGGAGACTAGAGAGAGTTCTTTTATTTGAGGGATCACAAACTAGTTGTGTATATCTGTGCACTGATGAGGCAGGTGAATGCAGTCAATCATTGTTTCCATTTGTCCATCTTTGAAGTGAGTTTCTACTCCTTGCTACCATGGGTAAAGAGTGATTTCAGACATTAGGATTAAAGCTTTGAGCTGAAGTTTTCAGCCCATTATTTACTTCTGTTTATTGTTTCTTTTCTAGCCAAGAGTTTTGGAATTCTTTGAGATGACTCATCATCTTGTACAGTGCACACATACCAGTGGTTTTGTGACGGACTTCTTCCCGAAATACACTTGTTAGAAAACCTAAAAGGCAATGTGATAAAGTTAGACTTTGGAGTAAAAAGAAAGTTGGAGGCCATTTACTCTAATCCCCTGGTTTTACATATGAGAAAACTAGGACTCTGACATGGCCTGCCAGTCTCATAGTGAGTTCATGGCTAAGCCAAAACTAACCAAAACATGTTTTCTCCTAAAACATGTAGTAGTGCTTCAAAAAAAAAAAAAAAAGGCTTAGATCTCTTATAATCTACTTAGATGTTGATAATTAAATCCAATTTTAACATGACTTTTTATCCCACAAATCCATGATATAGCAGGTTATTTTCCATAATACAGGACCTTGCCTTAGAACTCTCATATACATATCAGTATAGAAGATGGTGTCACTCCTGCTTCTAAGCACCTCTGAGAGAGTTCATTAAAACCCATAGCTTCTTTCTAAAGTGTGAGGTTTATCCATATGAACTGCCACTTTTGAAGTTCTAAAATGGTCAAATATCAGCAATTTCATATGGTTTAATCTGATGTTTTGTGACTGCTTTTGTTCTTTTATCCATCTTCAAGCTGAAGCATCCCATCAGGAAAGGGAAGAAAATTTCATTTTATATCTATAGCAAGTAGAGCTTGTTGGCTTTTCCTGATCTTACACCTCCCAGGTTGCAACACAGATCCTGACATGGTACCTTTCATTTACCATTAGATGCCTGGCCATTTTCATCAGTATCAAAAGTATGAGATTTTCTTTACAATGAACAAAGAGAAGTGTATTCTTTCTCTGCCTTCAGCTCTGGAAAGTCTTGCTTCATGGTTTGGGGCAAAAAAAAAAAAAAATAACTCTGTGCTCTATTTTACTCTGCCAGTTACACTTAGCCACACAAACCACTGCAGTGCAAGCACACCCCCTCACCCCCACTGGACGGGGGTATGTGAAGGTCAATTCTAAATCTTGATTTTTCATGCTTGTCTTCATTTTCAGAGGCATGAAAGTCATTGAGAGTCGAGCCCAAAAGGATGAGGAAAAAATGGAAATTCAGGAGATCCAGCTGAAAGAAGCCAAGCACATTGCTGAAGATGCCGACCGCAAGTATGAAGAGGTCAGATTCTGGGGCCCAAAGCCCCTTGAACTCCCCAGCAGTGACCTTGGGTGGGTGGATAAAGGGAATAGTGTGCAGCCTTAATTTCTTCAGTGAAACGATCTCCTTTAGCAGAAAATTGTTTTTATTTTGATTCTGCTGGGGATCCCAGGCCTTTATCCCAGACCAATCAATAGCCTTCAGAAAGACCTGAAGATAAGGACAAAGAACTCTGGCCAGGATGCACTCACCCAGAAGGCCCTTCTTCCCAGTGTGAATCACCTGGCACAATCCAGTTCAGGCAGTCACCATGCAGCTGCTCCGTCGATGTGGCAGCCTTTTCCACTCTCTGTCCTCAAGGTGGTAGAATCCCATTATCAACACAGGTTCACAGGTGAATCAGCCTTTTCAGGATTGCTATGATACATTAGGGAAAAACTAAAATTTTAAATCATGTTGGCTCTATTTTCATCAGGTGTTTGCATGGGCCATGATCAGGCGTTGATTCACTTGTGAACCTATGGGGATTTTTTATTTTATTATTTTATCATCTTGAGAGTTTGCTGTGCCCACTAATTTTAAAATGCTTCAGAGATCCCTCTGTCAGTTTCTTCCACTAAATACAGATTGACTTCATTAGTCATCTCACCTACTTACTCATGTTAACTTCTTTTGCTATTTGTATTGGAATTTTTAATCTCCATGAGAAGGAGGTTGAGCTACAGAGCTCTAAGTTGATGGAGTTCTTAGGAATTTTTTCATGTTCCTGGCAGCCACCACCTTTTCCATATAAAACGCATCGTGTTTTATCATACTGTAGTTTTTGAGATTGTAAATTTCATCTCTCTCCCCCTTTGTACACTTTGGTGTGACTACAGTGTAATTATAGTCTTCACCTGTGTCAGAGCCAGCCCACTCCTAAGGAAGTATCCTAGGTCTTTATGAGCAGAAGCCCCTGGTCTCTCCATTGGCACTGCACTTGTGTGGCTAAGTGTAACTGGCAGATTAAAACCCAGATGAAGAACTGCTTCTCTCCATTCTGTGGGAAAGAGGGGCATCTTGTTTGTAGACAAGAACTCCTAGGGCCTACTAGATCTAACCCCCACCCCCACACCCTCCACTAAAAACTTACAAGCTCCATGGTGCATATGTATTGTGTTTGGCCTGCTGCAGGTGGCCCGTAAGCTGGTCATCATTGAGAGTGACCTGGAGCGTGCAGAGGAGAGGGCTGAGCTCTCAGAAAGGTAAGTGGGCCCAACACCAGGACGCTGTGTGTGGGGTGCTGCAGAGCAGTGACTAAACAGCATGACCTTCTGGCAGCTGCACATTTACCTATTTCAGCTTCAGGCTCCTTATGTGCTCATTCGATATGGATGAGCCAAGAGTCTGGAACACAGAGGACTTATATGGGGTTTCTGTGTATGAATGCGTGTATCACTGCATGCCTTACCTGCACACTGATTTTGAGAATGGCCTTGTGCATTTCCTGTGTCCACTAACAGCCAAGTTCGACAGCTGGAAGAACAATTAAGAATAATGGATCAGACCTTGAAAGCATTAATGGCTGCAGAGGATAAGGTACTGATGGCTCATGTGTGGTTTTTAGGTTTAACTGCAACCCAGATGTCTTTCAGCTTCCAATGCCTACTGGTTCATTGGTTAATGACTGCACCTTCACTACACCCTCTGCTATCTTATATCTTGCTTTAAGTGCTTTCTTTGGGTCCTTTATACTCCTTTGTTTTTCCTTCATATATGCTCTTTGGTGCAGCCAAAAAAGAAGCCAAATTGTTGCATTTTGTTACCCTTCCAAGTTGTCGGATTTTGTCACCCTGCTTTCTGCTGTTGCAAAGAGAAGGGGGTAGTGTCCATGGCAAAATTGAGCTTCTTAAAACTTGACAATTTGGCTACTTTAGGCAGCCCTTTGTTCTCTAGGACTCAGTTTTCACTTTTTCCCATCCCTCTCCTTTTTCTCTCCTCTTCCTTTGGCTTGTCTCCCACCCTTTCTGCCTCTGATCGAAAACATTAGCAAATGTGCCGAGCTTGAAGAAGAATTGAAAACTGTGACGAACAACTTGAAGTCACTGGAGGCTCAGGCTGAGAAGGTATGCCAAGAGTGTGGTGTGGGGAAAAAGGCATCTTTTAAGAGCTCACTTTTTTCTCTTCTGAGAGAAAACAATGCTGATGAAAACAATAGGCATTTTAGCTCCACATTTTTCAAGGTGATTTGCTGGTGGTTATTCGATAACTGATTGCTTTGTTTTTTTTAACAGAAAATATATTTTATGTTGAGTTGTGAATCATCTGTAACACTTTAATTTAAACCAATTAAAACAAGATAGATAGTTACCTTGTTCTGATCCCATGTAAAACAATAGGCAAGAAAACAGAGAATATATTATAGTATGCCATTTGATATCAGAGTCTCCATTACCTCCTAAGAGATCCTCAACATCTATGGGTTGGGCCAGCGCTAAGACATTAGTATAGAGTAAGCTGTGGCCTGACATCTGGACCGTTCTTTCTAATTACAGTACTCGCAGAAAGAAGACAAATATGAGGAAGAGATCAAGGCCCTTTCTGACAAACTGAAGGAGGTAATATAAGTGTTTTGGATGAAGCTGATGGATTTTAAATGTTTGTTTTTATGAAACTGGTCAGGCTTTTTCAAGTAGTGATGATCCAAGTCAGGAATATTCAGGTGGTCCTGGAGTTCATGTGTTGTGCTAGCTTCCATCTCTTGCTGTAGTGACAGACTGAGAGGTAGTTTCAGACCCATTTTGTGGGTGCTCTGCTTTTTATTCTGTAAATTCCCCTATAATTGTAGCTCCCAATTTTGATTGAAATAAATTGAATCATTACAGGCTGAGACTCGGGCTGAGTTTGCCGAGAGGTCAGTAACTAAATTGGAGAAAAGCATTGATGACTTAGAAGGTAAGATCTTAAGTTTTGTTTTTAATTTAATCCTTATGGTTGAGTACTGACCTGGCAAAATGATTTTCCAATCCAAATGTATCCATCCTGATTTACTTCTTTGCCCTGGCACATTCTTCCTATCTGTCCTTTGGGGTTTTCATTCTATGGGTCTTAAATTTTTGGACCTGAGTCTTCTGCTCACAGGTGATGGTTAGCCACCAGACCGGGCACATCTCTTTTTATAACCAGTCATCCAGCTTGCTTTCATTCTCTTCAGATGTGTGCAGGTTAATTTTTCCTTTTGGATGAGCTAGTTGTAGGTGAGAATAACTATAGTGTATTTTCTATCTCTAGTGATAACCTCCTAGTTGTAAGAATAATGTGGTTTTGTTTTTAGACACAACCTATCTTCTTCAAATACGAATTGAATGTAAGGGTTTGGGGATTTTTTAAGTTACTGTCTTTGCAAATGCTCTGTATCCTGAGAGGGGCATAGGTGACTATGTTTTGAGATTATACTTAAACATTTCTCCCTTAACATACTTAGGTCTTGTTTTAGTAACACACGTTCTGTCTCACAGAAATCCTAAATGTTGAGCTCTGAGGCTTGTGAAGGGTCAGCTCTGGGGGGGTAAAAATCATAAAATAGATACAGCAAAGGTAGGAGGAGCCAGAAAAAGAACTGGTGGTCTGTGCAGATGATAACCAGGCTAGTGCAGAAGAGGAATGACAAATGGTTGCAAAACAATCTGCCAGAGTGCAGCAAAGGGAAACCTTCATTAGTCAAAAACTAAACTGCAGGCTTGTCATAGCACCACCATAAAAAGTGTGGGTCTCCTTGATGTTCAAGCTTCTTGACCCAGAAACAGGGCAACTTGAGCGGGAAGACCGCAGGAGTAGTTTAAATGGCACTCTATAACATCCCCGTGGTCTACAGTTGGGTCAGGAAGTCAGTGGCTTAAAGGTGGAGCCAGGTAGGGATTACAGGCTATAGTCGCAAATTGTTCTTCCAAACATTACCTTTGGATTTCTTTTCCACTGTTTATACTTGCAGGTGACTGATTACTTTAGAGTAATTAAAATATAGCTCTAGGAAAGGAAGATGTTCTTTTACCCACCCAGGGGACAGCCGCTGTAGTTTTGTTTAGGGTTTAACGTGGTTTACTGATATACCTACCATATTTGTTATGATTTTCACATTGAGTCTTTCTTGTTTTATTTTCTAATGGGTTTTGTCTTTTTGTTTTTGTTTCAATTCATTTAAAAACAAAACGCACGCCTCCTGCATTGGCCACCTGCTGCGGCACCAATTCCTTCATGCATTGCCCTTTTCTTGCTGCTGTGTTGGGATGGTGCCCATGCCACCCTCACTCACCCTCCATCTCTTGATCACTCTCCATGTCCTTGCACCTCTGCCTTCCACTTCCTGGTCATAGACGAGCTGTACGCTCAGAAACTGAAGTACAAAGCCATCAGCGAGGAGCTGGACCACGCTCTCAACGACATGACTTCCATGTAAATGTTCATCCACCCTGCCTGCTCACATCCGTGCCCTCCTGCTAATATGATAAATTCACGCTGCTTCCTCTGTGCCTTCAGAGCTTCCACGTTTACGCCTTTCTGTTCACTCTTTTTTGCGTGATCTAGGGTAGTTATTGTTTCTTCCACTTTCTACTAATATGAAAGCCAGAAGATTGAGTCTGTTTTGTACACACAATTTTCCTTTCAGAATCCATTTATTTCATAATCTGTATTCAGTTGTTCCCACCAAACAATGAACTGGAATCTGACTTGAGCACCATCCTTTCAGGAAACTAAAGGAGGCTCAAGTAAAATTAAAAGGCCATGCAGCTGTGCAGGAACTTCCCAAGAAAAGTCAAATTTGTTTTCCTACATCTCAAGTAAATGAAATATCATTTTTGTAAAAGATACAAATGTAAGAACCCCAAAAGTGTCAGGTTATTGAGAATCTGATGAAAGGAAAATTGACCCAATATAAGCTAAAGAATAGTGCTGTAAAAGACCATCTCTTCCTCATTTTTAAGAATTTTAGAGAGTAATGAACCCTCTGTCAACCCTCAAGCCTTTCATTCTCTGTGTTTACATAAAAGGATTTAAAATACCCACCATACACACCACAACCTGTGTCAAAGAAATGGGAAATAAAACACAGAGTGTGCGATAAGAGTTTGGGAGTAAATGACTCAGCTTTTATCGCTGTGGGGCAGCAAAAGTTGGAGTAGATAGTCTTATTCTTGAGGACCTTGAGCATAGAGAACTAATTTATGTATTACTAACCAAACCTAAACACTAAAACTCTGACCCTAAATTCTAACCTGGAATGTTCCCCAGAGGGCTCTCTTCATTCTAACAATATGGCAGTGAATTCCATGTACTCTGGAAAGTTCATCTTCAAGGCCCACCTTTTCTACCTTGACCCAGGCAGAAAAAAGGTAGCTTGAAGAGTGTGGTGTGTGCCTGCTATCTTACAGGTCATAGAATCTCCACATTAACCTTAGAGACATGATGTCACCATAGAAACTAGAGAGCATTCCATCATCTCTTCACTCATTAGTAAATAAGGGGATGAATGGATCATCTGTCTCTAAGGTCTTTTCCAATGCTCCAGTGTGGTGATTCTGTGGGGAAAACTTTGAGCATCAAGTATGAGTAAATATTCTGAGAAGTGGGTTTAGCTTAAAATTTAGTGTTCAATTCTGTTCATGGGTTTTCTTGATAGTGACCCTGACCTAAAAGGAGGGGTCTGGGCTCTGATGAGCGAAAATAGATGTCCTCCCTCGGGGGCGGCTTGTGGGAGTTTTGCATGTCTGCTTTTCACCTGTGTTCCAAGTGTTGCTCTCACCTGTCAGTTTGGTTTTCCTTTTGTCCATTATACCACTTTTTTTCTTTCTCCCACCTTTTCTCTTCATGCAGATAAATTTCTTTGCTTCACTTCTCCCAAGACCCCTCATCAAGCTGGATGCCTCACCTCTCTGAGCTCTGCAATTTGTCTGTTCTCCACCTGGCCCTGGTCCTTTCTGTGGCATCCTGCCAGATACCCACTGTGCTTTCTATTGTACAGAAACTCTTCATTTCAGTGTAAAATAAACACTGTGTATGCCATTTCTGTTTGCTCTTCTTTTTACTTCTTATTTATTGACATTTTCATTTCAACACTGAATAAAACTACAAATCTGCTTCATACATATGAGGGTTAATTTTTTGGCTGCTGCTTTTTTTTTTCCCTCCATTTTGAGTATTATTGATATCAAGAGTTTCTGAAGCAATAGTTTCTAGTAGAGCTTTAAAAAAGCGCTCATGCGTGGGTCCTTCTCAGAGTTTAGATTCCAAAGCTCAGAGTGAGGCCTGGTACTGTGTTCTTTCAGGAATTACAGTGGTTCTGATATGTAGCCTGGGTTGAGAACCTCGGCCAGAGGTTTTTTATGTGGGGTGTGATTGAGCCCTGGGTGTTGACTTTTAGATCACTCTGCATTAGAGGGCGTGGTTAACTAATGAAAGACTCATGAGGAAGGGGGCTCCATAACCATCCCATGTTGTTAGAAATTTCTATATTGGGAAAGGTGAAAAACAACTTGAAGTCAACAACCTAAGTGGAAGTTACTGATGTTCTTCCTTTCATAACAGAACAGTTAAAGGTTTTGTTTATACTTACGTACTACAAATAGGAGTATACGCAGTCTCCTTCATTTTGATCATAAAATGACATCTCAGGTTTTCTAAATATGATCAGTATGTCCAAGTTGAAATTTATTGTACACAAATAATCTTTAGGTTAAATGCTGGTGTTTTCTGTTTTTATCTCATATGTGCATATTTTTAAGTATAGCCATTCAGGTTGATTTTTTTTTTTTTTTTTCGTTAAAAGGAAGGTGGTGGAAATTGTGCAGAATGCAGTTCTATTTTAATTGGGTTTCACTTTTTCACATCAGAAATAGCAATTAAATGATTTTTTTTAAACATTGCAAAATTAGAACTTCAAAAATTATGAAGACTTTTGTTTCTTGATTTCCATCATTTCTCTTAACTTTCTGGCTCTGTTTCTCCTGTGTTTTAAGTGTGGTGATTTCTGTCTGTTTTGTGTGTAGGTTTTGTTAGCCTAAGAGGGTTTATATAGCACTATACTCGAATAAATTTGAACACACTGAAACTGTCAATAATTCCACAGAGATCAAAGCAGAGGAAGAATACTCCTTTTAAAGGGCTACGAATTGTGTTTGTATAGCATAGTAACGGTTTTTAAATTTAGAATCCGAGGGTGCCCGGCTCGCTCAGTTGGTAGAGCATGAGATTCTTAAATTTAGAATCTGGACAATGTCTCTCCCTTCAGAGTAAAAAGACTTCTATGATTTCCTATTTTTCTTTTCCTAAGTCATCTTGAACCTATTTTTTGGCCATGATTTCTGCCTTGTTCTACTTTAAATTCAGAGTAATAGAAGTGGGTCCTTCTCTGAGTAATCTTGCTTCTTCCCATAGACAAAATGACAAGTTTGATGTTCTGCTGAACAAAAGATGTTCAGTTAATTCTGGAGACACAACACTTTCGGAAACCCACCCAGAGCCTTTCACACTTTGTAGAAGTACATTCTATGAAGGAAATGGGAAACTAATGAATTGGGAAGCCATATCTGGAATAACCCAAGAAGGCATAGGGACACGAAGATAAATAGCAAGTTGAGTTTACCAAGAAATTGTTGGAACCCAGGCTTCCAGTTCAGAGATCCAGGCCATAACTGGAGCTGCAGCGGGATCCTCAGTTGGACCAAATCAAAAGCATTTCTGAGTCTGGGCACTAGAGGCCCCACACATCTGGGAGGTAGAACAGGAGGGAAAGTACTTCCAAATATTTATATGTCTGGTCCCTGCCATACCAGTTTCCTGGCAGCTGAAGTGGAACACATCAAAAGGGAGATGTGGTGGGGACAACTGTCATTTGGGCTGCCTGCACATTGACCCTCTGTGGCCATCGTTCAACATGCTAGTGTGACTGTAATAGGGTTTACATTTCGCCCCCAACCATAAGTTGTAACACGACACTATGGTAGGTAGTGAGGATGTTCTTTGTACTCGAACTGTTCATCTTGTGGGAAAATGGCTTAGGGAGTCTGAACTAGCGTCGTACTAAAGGGCTAATGAGGGAGGATAATTCTGACTGGGAGCTATTGGAGGAGATGATATTTGACTGGGCTTTTGAATATTCAGGAAATTTGGATGAGCAAAGACGATGAGTTAGCAGATAGTTAAAGCTAGAAAACATGAATGTACCATCTTCCCATCTGCTATCATTTATGAGAGTTAAAATAGGAATGACTAAAGTTACCAAGCAACTGAGGGACCAGAGGCTGGACATGTTCCCTAGGGGAAGAACTGGCAGCTTTTCAAAATCGCGAAGCAGAACTTCTGTACCCAGGTTATCACTATCATTCAAAACAACTATGAATCCATGAGATTTCCCCATTGGATATCAGGTCCTTGTCATTATTGGGGGCATTCCCTGAACAATCAGATACTTACTGACTTAAAGTTGACTTCTTTACTGTCTGAGCAAATGCCAGTATGTAAAGGTGTATGTGTGTGTCTGTTTAGACACACACGTATATACAGACATACACATATATATCACTGTATAAATGTATATACAGTGAAGTTCGAGATTTTATATCCAGCTAGCACTAAACATGAATGCCATCCACTTCAAGAAGTAAGCAAATAAATTCTAAATCACTTTTGAATGAAGATAAATGCTTGTTATCTTATACTGTGAAGAGAGTAACACACCAGTATCAAAGCTAGATGAGGGTTCAGAATTTGCACACTGTATCATGGTGATTACAGGAAGGATGGGGAGTTTAGCTCTACATTTCAAAAAATGCTAATGCAGCATAAGTAGACCCTGCTTGGTACCACCGAAAGGAAATCCTAACCCTGTGAGTCGTAGGTGGGCAAGTTGAGCCCTACAAGGATTGCTGGGCCTACGTTCAGCCCTCGCTCTAGTTATTGTCAAAAACTGCATTCAGCTCAGTTTACACAGTGAGTGTAGTGACGTGTAAAAGGAACATCCCCTCTCCTCTACTACCCTGTCCCCTCCTCTCTCAAGAGAGAAATTCCCACTCACTAAGTCAGCCTTTCCCTGGTCACCCTTCCTGGGCATAGGATAGTTGACTATAGAGGGAGAGTGAACTACTCAGCAAGTGACCAGTGCCTGAGGTACCTCTGTGTTCTCTGTTAACTCCCTGTCTCCAAGTCTGGCTAACCTCTCTCCTTCTACCTCTTCTCTTCTGCTAACCTGCTTGCTGACCTGTACAGATCAACTCTACCAGCAACTTGAGCAAAACCGCCGCCTAACTAACCAACTAAAGCTGGCCCTGAATGAGGATTAAACTTAAGTGGGGAAGAACTTGGGCTGAATTGTAGGAATGGAACTTGTGGGTAGGAAATCTCGGACTGTTCATACCTTCAGTGAATAGGCTTGAAAACCATTGCTTTCTGCAGAAGTGTATATGAAAAGAATCAGCTGAAAGGCCAGCCTTGCCTGCATTTCCTTCTTATATCTGGAATAATCTAGTTGTCTTTAATTCCAAAACAGCTTTTATGGTAAAATTACATATGTTGATGGATAAATATAACAATCAGTTCAGCACTCCTGTTTGCAATTGCAGGTCCTATTGTTTGATGCATAGTGAGGACCAAAAACTGTTTTTTATTTCCTACAGAGAGCTGAGTCCTGCTTTAAGTTAGAATGCCAAAGCAGAGGGGTGTGTATGTGTATAACTATATATATATATTATATATATAGGGTGTGTTATATATAATATATATATTCCTATTACATATTCATATTTCTGACTTCTTAATAGCCGATACAATGTTTGAAAATATGAATAAATATACCTATGCTTGGGTAAAATAGCTTTTGAAAACAGGAGCTCATGTAAGAAGTCCCTGAGTATCTGAAAGGTATGCTTTTATTAAGTCTAATGGTGTTGGAATCTGGTCATGCTCAGAATAAATAGAACACTAAGAATAGTAAAAGAATGTCCTACTGACGTGTGCATGAAACGTTGATAATTTTTTTTAAATGTGTAACAAATAATTTAAACAGTTGACAGAAACCCTATTTACATCATCTTTGTTTTCTGTGAGATTGTGTTAGTTACAGCACAACTTCCAGACCTTTTAACTGCCTGTGACTCGGAAATGTCTGCTCTTATTAACTTTAGTGCTGTGAGCATCTCTCCCTGTTTCCACAGCACAGGACCAGCGAACCTTCCCCAAACTTCACCTGCATTTTATTCTCAGAGTGGACTTTTGGGGAAGGTACCCCCCAACCTGCTGTGCCTGTATTTCCTTCAGGTCAAAGACATCCTCCCCCTTCATAGGTCCCTGTCTGGAAATGAGTAATGTCCTATAAGCATGCCTAGTTCTAATCATCTCGTCCTGTTTGTGATTGATGTTTGCCTGCCTAAATGTACAAATCACCATTGTGTCCAAAGCGCAGCTATTCATGACTTAATTTTCTAATCCCACCACAGAGAAAGTGGCTCATGCCAAAGAAGAAAACCTTAGTATGCATCAGATGCTGGATCAGACTTTACTGGAGTTAAACAACATGTGAAAACCTTCTTAGCTGCGACCACATTCTTTCATGTTGTTATTGTTAACTTTTGTTTTGTTTTTAAACACCTACTTACCATGAAATCCCTTAACGCATTTTTATTTACTTTTACCACTGTCACAGAAACATCCACAAAATATCAGCTAGATCAGGGGGTGGGGCAAACACACAACACACAAAAAGACAGTGATGACTTCAATGTGCCATTTCCCAGGCTGGCGTGGCCACCCTTCTTAGAGATGTTAGCAGCACAGCATGCTCAGTCAGTCTGGGGCTCCTCACAAAGCAGAAAGATTCCCACTCAAAGTGCCAACGACATAGTCACAGGAAGGTTAATGTTGGAAACACAGTCAGGTGTGGACTGGTGCTACTTCCCACAAAAGGTCCCACTGTGGTCTTTCATTGAGTTTTGTACAATTTAGAATTCTGTCCAACACTAATTTATTTTGTCTTGAGTATGAGGTGAGACTGTGGATCCTGTATGCCTGAATTCACTAAAGCCAAGGGTTTGTAAGCCACGCTGCTCTTCTAGACTTCTGTTTATCCTAACTGACACACTTGGAGCTCATTACAACTTGTAGCATAGCATTCGATGTGGATTTCCACTTTTCGTTTTGCCATGTTAAAGTGAAAGATTTAGGCACTACATAAGAAATGGTCAAGAAAAAACATTTTCTTAAGAGTTATATGTAAACATTGTAAAATGATATGAATAAAATGCACATTGTAGGACATTTTCTAAATTTGGTGGTCCTGTCGTTTATATGCTTTTTCTTTGTGAACTTTAGATCGTGTGATTTACCTTACTTCCCCACACAAATGGTTTTTTAGCATAAACAATCATCTCCCAAAGCCCAGGGATATCTGGTTTTGCTGTGTTCTCCTGGAAGTACTCAAGGCAGCATCTCTGGTCTGTTGAAGTTACAACCAAGTAGGAAAAGACCCTTTCCAAACTCTCTGCATTATGGGTATCCATTTGTACACACACATACACACACACATACAGTCCTTTTCCAGTGGTTTTACTGGTTAGGGGATTTTTTTCCTCACATTGTCTTTAGCAGTTATACACATCAACAGATTGTGGATTAGGCACCCAATCACTGTGGTCCCCCAACAGTACAATGCTACTGAAAAGAACCGCTTTAAAGGATCTTTGTGATTTTCTGCTTTCTAATTTATGCTGTTCTAAATTCCAATATATACTCATTTTCTCAGACTTAGAAACTGAAAATATCATAGTTTGCTCTCAAAGCCTTAAGGAACAAATCGATTACAAACAATATCAGTTCGCTAAATTTGTTGTAGGGGCCAGGAGGGAGGAGGTGTTCTCATGAAGAGCAAACAGAGTGGAAATAAATGAAAACTTGTTTGGATGCACATATAATGCTTTCATTCCAAAGTATTAATATCCCCTTTAGAGTTTCCTTTCCACATAAAGCGAGGGTGTGAGACAAAGAAGCCAAATAGAAACCTGGAAGCCTGACTTAACAGTTCCTGCTTCTAAAATGGTGTCCTCTTGCTCAAGGCAAATAAATGCTCTGGATTCCAACCTTCCCACATCTCTACCAGCACTAGGCTCTCTCCTGCCAGTTCTCAGCAAGATGAAATCCTATCTCCACCTCACCCCAGCATTCTATCTGTGGGAGCCACATCGGCCTTCTCCTTTGCCTTCTGCCTGGCCTGTCATGTTCCTGAAGCTGAGCCATTTATGAAATGGGGAGAATTAACCTCTAGCTCACAGGTTATTGTGGGACTCCAGTGTATAACCTGTGTAATAAAGTAGCCTAGCTCCTCGGGCATGCCTGATAAACATTAACTGCTATTGTCCTCAGCTGCTACACGTGCAGAGGCCACAACAGAGCCTATTTAATAAATGACTTTGTGAAGCTGGGGCAACACTAACTTTGCCCCCAATGATGACTGTTAATTCTAATAACCTTTCATCAGAGCCTGTAATCACTTTACAAATGTGTTTTCAGCCTCACATTAGTCCCTACTTTATGAACACAAATAGGCTCAAGGAGGCTGAGTGAAACTGCTCTCAGAGTTCCATAGCTCTCAAACTGGGGTCAGCCTTCCGATGTTGTGTGGCTCAGCATCTTACAGCAGAAGAAAAGCAACTGCTAAAAATAAGTAGAAACATGACGCAGCAAGTACAGATGGGCGAGATGGAGCCTGGGAAGATGCAGAATGAGCCAACTTGTAGCTGACATGACCACGGCTGAATGATTTAATGCCAACCTCCTCTGGCTTCCAGGGATCAGATGAGATCAATTAGTGAAGCATAATGCCAATTAGAAAAAATACTTTCACCTGATCTTATAAATGGAAACGGGAGAACGCCCTGTCTCCACGTGGCACATCTTGGGTCTGACCCGGTATGATTATCTGAGCATGAGGCTCTGGGAGGTCAAGAGGAGAGAGATTAGGGCTCTTCAGTGCAGAATCTCTGAGGCTGGAAGCCATTGTGGTCATTTAGAAAATCAAGAAGTACAGAGAGAATTCAAGATTCATGCTCTAAATTCCATTGTTGAGACTCAGCTGGACCAGAGTGTAGCAGAAATAGTCACAAAGGCTGCCCTGTTCAGAGTAACAGTGGAATTCCATAGAGAAAGGATACAGGGTAAGAATATAAGCATCTTCAAAAAATGTTTAAATGTATGATGAGTGTGCTAGAATTTGTTAATGAGTGGGGAAGATAAAGAGGTTTATGGATGGATGTATCTGAATTTTTGGAGACTGGTATTGAAGAGAACAATTACTCTATTTGTTGCGCCTTAGAAATAATCATTTGCAAAAATAAAATCTAATTTTTGTGTATCCAGAATTCAGTACTTTGGGTCTGATTTTTTTTCCCCTCAGTGACTTGGGGGTGGAGGTGGGGGAGAAGAATGTCTTTACTGGAACAAGTATTTGAGAGTATGTTGACATTTTTTTCAACTTGTCTGCTATTTGTAGGCATGATTTTCAATCTGCAGTTGGATGTACATGTGGGGGTCTGGGGGTGGGTGATGAAGAGAGAAAGGAACATGAATTCTCCAATCAAAACAAAAATCATTGGTGTGCTCAGGGAGTCATCATTTCCAGAACTGGAGACAGGAGTTTGGAAAGAAATTTAAAATGTCAGGCAGTGCAAGAAGTGTTTCTTCCATTATGTATACTTTGTGACATTGAGGGTTTTCAGAGCTGCATTCCTCCAACAGGAGTTATAAATTTTATATGTCAAATAATGAATGAAGCTATGTTGAAGGTTCACTAATACGAATGCCAAATTTTTGACAAATGGACATCAACCTAAAGGATAAGACTAGTTCCTGCTGCATGTGAGTTTTATTCCCACGTGTTACCAAGGCCACGGAGAACAAAGAGTCGAGTCAAAGCCTTATCAGGGCCTGCCAGGGCTGATGCCTGAAACTGAAATGCTGATTCAGAGCCGGAAGTCGTCTTATGGTCGTGAAGGCCCATGGAGTTAAGTTCAGCTGTCATGTTGGCTGGACAGCAAAGTGTGAGTTTGGAAACCAGAGGGAAGGTTTGAAGGCTGCTCCATCATTTACTGTGTGACCCCAGGTTCATTTTATCTTTTGGGCAGAAATGTCTGCACCCTGAAAAGGGATTGGTGGTTTACCTCTTCAGGTGCCTGTGCATTTCCTCACAGGGCTGAAACTACAGGAGTTGCTCTGTGGAGAATGCCGCCCCACCCTCTCCAGTGCCTCTTCTCAGCCATGAACCTTCTGCATTGGGTCCCTAGGGAAACCAACAGGAACTTTTTTTTTTTTTTTTTTTTTTTTTTAAATGAAAATCCTCAGTTTCATCCCTCTGGAGGCCACTCACTGCATTGCAAGGGTACTGCACATTTAACAACAGCAACAAAAAAAATGCAAAATGCATTTATTGATTGGACTAACGGCCCAAAACAAATGTTCAAGTCAAAATTCTGTACACAGGAGGTAGTGAATGCTTCACAGTGATAGGTTCCAGCTTCATATTTAAACAAAACACAGGCCCTTGAAAATATGTCTGTTGCTCCATTCTCCATCTGCATTTGAATGTTTTGCTGAGTGAAATCAGACCAAATGCTGAATACTCCAGGCCTTATAAGAGATGTAGATAATGGTTTTTGAGCCCTCATTCATTCCTGAAGAGCCCTTTGGCAGAACCACTGGGGAATCTGCTCTTTCCGGAGGAAAGCAATGAAGGAAAGGTAAAGAGCCTTTTGTGTGTGCTAGAGGGAGGGATGGTTCTTAGTTCTATCTCCCAGGGGGCTGACAGGGCATGACTAGCAAGCATGGTGAGTGGATGCTGCCTGGGGGTGGGGTGAGGGGAACACATTCTATGATGGTGAGTTCTGAGCTGTTAATTCGAGATACTCAGGATTTGGAATGCTGTCTTTTCAGTGGAACTCTTATTGCTTAGACTCATAGACTGATTATTAAACTCCCAGGTACATGTACTGGAACAATAAAGCTCCGTGGCCTTCCGAAGAGCTAGATTTTGTTGGATAGAGCGCATGCTGCTTTGGCACCCCCCAAGCTCCCACCCCACCCTGAGTTGAAAAACTACATTTCACAGTAAAACAACTGCCAAGTAAGTATTTGAATCATGCGGTGGGTCAAGGTCACTATTCTCTGAAGTGAGTCACTATCCTGAAAGTGTTAAGTGTTTTTGCTGAAAGTTCAGTAGTTAGCATATTAGAAATATGAGCCAGCATTCAGGTAATGAGGTTCTTCATTTTTGTTTTAGGTGGGTCAAGGCTTCATAAGAGTACCTAGCACAACTAACTGCATCTCGAACCCAGCCTCAAAGCAATTAATTGCTAGCTTATTCAGCTTAAAGACCGCTGTCCCTGTGATTTGTTTTACTGCTCTATTCTCACAAAGCACTCCTTTCCAGAACACTCCAGGACTGTCT